GAATTGCTCTGCTCCCTGGCACAGCCACGTCTGTGCCTCACTTTCCTGTCTCTGCCTGGTAATATTCCAACCTCACTGAGGTATCATGAAGCTTAATTAGCTCCAGGCAAAGCCCTTGGAGATCCTCGGATGAGAGACCCTGTAGAAGCACAGAGCATTAATTTAACATTATTAAAATAATTGGGTAGTGGCTGGTGAACAGAGGGTTAGTGTTAGCAGGATTTATTCTTAGTGGGAGATGAGGAGGAAATAACATTCCTCATGGTTCAGTGGTAGGACCAGCTTCTTAGTGTTCATACTAATAGTTTTGGACAAAGCAGGACACTTGGAATTGTGAGAGAAACAGCTGGTAATGAAATAGCAGCTGCTATTAAGACACACAGAGAAGTGCAGTGTCTGCACCATAATCTTATTCAAATAAGTTCAGGAGTGGGAAATGCTCTTTTAGGTGCCTTAAGTGTAATGTGATGCCACTGGGTGGGAGTTACACATCAGGTAATTATAGCATGAATAGCAGGGAATTAGGGTGTATGGCACAGGAAGTGATCTCTGCACGTTGACATCCCCAGCTTGTTGCAGCTACGGGGATTTTATTAAAGCAAAACAGTTATTGGCAGTACAAGGTATTTTTTTCTTCATGAACCATGGTAGACGCACCAGATGAGAGCAGAGCAGAGTCACAGGAATCTCCCAGAGCCCAAAATACACCCTGACCCTCCACAGAGACAACAGGAATGATGAGCTGGGATCGGGATATTTCATTACCCCTCTCACAGTCTGAGCACTGACAGCTCAGGTGACCACTTTCATGAGGGGGGCACTTGTGTCTGGAGGTACTTATTTATTAAAAGTCCCTTTTGCCTTTATTTACAGTTTGCTGCACTTGTGGGGCTGCAGTGTCCCCTCTGGGCAGTGCCTTCAGCAGTTGGGTGCTTTGTCACATTTGTTTCTGCATCTCAGCCTCCACCACTCAGGGATTTGGGATTGGTGCTGGAGGGCAGCACTTTGCTCTGCACACGCTGAAACAATTTTCTCTGCTTTCTCACCCCACTCTTGGGGGAGGGCAGAACATTTTTGGCAGCACAGAGGAAGGCTGGAAGCTTTATGACAGGTACCTTTTTGTGCCCCCCTGAATCACAGAATTATAGAATGGTTTGGGTTGGAAGAGACCTTAAAGATCATCTCCTTCCACCCTCCTGCCATGGTCGGGGACAACTTCCACTAGCCCAGGTGGCTCCAAGCCCTGTCCAGCCTGGCCTGGGACACTTCCAGGAATGTGGCATCAGCAACTTCCCTGGGCAACCTGTGCCAGTGCCCCACCTCTCTCTGAGCAAAAAACGTCTTCCCAATACCCAGCCTAAATCCTCCCTCCTTCAGGGTAATCCACCACAGAGAAAATCCACCACGTTTTGCCTCTGAGGAACCTCAGCTGCAGGTGCTGGGCACACACCTTGGGAGAGTGTGGTGTGTCAACCCACAGGATGCTCCTTCTGCTCCAGCTCAGGATAGAGAAGGTGTTCAAGGAGGAGATGCAGAGACCACGGGGACAAGGCTCTGAAGAAGAGCCCTCATCCCTCTCTCCTGCATGGGCAAACCTGCAAAACTCACTGGCAGGCAGCTGCATTCCTTTAGTCTTGATTTCAGCAGCAGCTGGGATCAGTTCCCTGGGGGAATTATGTTGCTGTGATGTTGACCCCGGAGCCTGAACCCTGCTGGTGACCCAGAGCCAGCTGGGCAGAACTCCTCCATCATCAGACTCAAGCACAGGCACAGTTGGGTGTTTTGGGGTTTTTTAAATTGAGAAATACCATTGAAAAAGTCACAGAGTTGAAGTCAAAAGTTGGGAAGTGGAAGAATTGAGGTCACCGTGGAAGAAAGGAATAATAACCTGTGATCCTCTAATTAAAGTCCAGCTTTCAGTGTGGGAGTGCAGGGAGAAGAATTGGAAGTGCAGAAGCTCCTTTCAGTCTGGCTGTCCCTAATTCCTGAGACCCTGACACTGCAACTTTAACATTTTATTAAAACCAGGCTTAGTTTGGTTTTTCATAATTTCATTATTATTTGGATGGGAAAATATTAAGGCTTCAAGATATTAAGGCTTCAAGACACATCAATCAAATATAGAGTGAATTCTTGGTCTCAAAAGTTACATGTCTTAAATGTGTATAACCTGTAAACAGCAAGTTAAAATGTGGATTATTATATTCCTGCTCAGTGATGGGATTAGGAATACAAACCTTATTCCTAGATGATTAATCTACATCCATAGACTTGAACTGAGCCTGGGTATCTGCCCATTAAATTTTAGAAAATCCAGATATTTCTGTCGTGCTACAGGTGGAGGAAATGAAAGGGAGGTAGAAGGACATCTTGAACAATTTGGGTGCTTGTGTGTTCACAAGACCAAAAAGGGTTTTCCTTCCAGGCTGCTCTCAGGAGAAGAATTCCCACACCCTGCAGAGCTTTCATGGGATTGCTGTGGCTGTTTGTTTTATGGAAGTGCTTAGAAAAATCTCAGGTCAGCATTTTGCCACTTGGCTTTCATGCCACCATAGGGGACTCACAATTTTTGGGGGCAGTTAATCAGATATTGGTCCAACCCTCTGGAGAATACCCGCTTAAAATTCCTGATCCAGCATGTGGAGGCACTACAGGAGAGTTAATGGGATGAAGGCTCCTGGGGAACAGAGAGCAGGAGCTGCAATGCTGCTCTTGCTCTCTCAGACCTGCAGAGCAAACCCAGAGTGTGCTGAGAATGGCAGAGATCTCCTTTCATGACTCCTGCCTCTGGAAATGCACAGCTTTCCTCTACCAGAAAGATGGAGAAATTGGAGTTTGAAGTTGGGGTGTTCATTTTATCTGGTGTCAGACACCAGAGAGAAGCCAAGCCCTAAAGTTTTAGGTCATCCCAAGATTTTTAATATTATGGTTACCCATATATTGAGGGGTTTTTTGCACGTGTTTCCATGGGTCCTTATCTGCAAATCCCCAGGTAGGTGCAGTCTCTTCTCCAGGGAACAAAGACATTGAGGGGTGATCTTGGAGCTACAGCTCCAGCAGCCCCCACGTGCTCTCACAACTAAAACTGAAGTCTGGGAGCAGGTGAATAATTTAACAGCCACACTTAGTCTTTATAGCTGATTTTAATGGGGGGTAATAGAATTGCTAATAACAAAATCCATTGAAGACACCCTTTGCAAGTCCATAACATTAACTTAATGGCAGAAGGTAATTGGCATGCAGTTGGAGCTGTCCTTTTGGATTAACCCCACGGATTTCCAGGCAGACACCTCCCTTGGAGCAATGGCCTTGGGCAGTGCATGTGGGGTGAAATACAGACGTGGTTCACTTTAAGCAAACGCAGAGCTGGATGGAAACAGGGCAAAAAGCTACTAATTCACATGGCTGGGCTTGTGTTTACACCAGAGAGGTGAGAAGAGAGGCAGTGAGAGGACTGAAAGCACCAGCAGTGAGTTGGTGGTGTGAGCTCTGAGGGTCTTTGCAGCCCAGGTGTGTGCACCCACCTCTCTTGCTGAACTGCCTCTAATTGGGAACACCAGAAGTTTTCAGTTTCAACCCTCAGCACTTCTAGTCAGGCATTTTCAAAACAGATACCAAAAGCTCCTTAGTCTGCAGGGACTATTTAGCAGCTGCTGGGCAATGGCTTGGAGCGTGGCCCCATCCTCTCAACAGAGGGGCCAGCAGCCCAGAGGTACCACAGGAGTGGAGCATTCTCAGCAGGGCCAAAAAGCAGCTTCTCTACAAGGACATCCCTGCCTAAGATGTCCCACTGCCCTTCAGCAAGAGAGTTTTCAGGGCTGTGGGTTTGGCCAAGGGAAGGTTATGCTGTAGCCGCTGGGGCTTTCACCCATCACCCTCCCTCTTTTCACGGTGTCCTTGCAACTCCCCAGCCTGCTGAGCAATCCCATGCCTGCTGGCACAGGAGTCAGCACTCTCAGGGACATGGTGGGATTCTTGGGGTTGTCCTTTTGAAAGGCCAGGAGTTGGATTTGATGATCCTTGTGGGTCTCTTCCAACTCAGGATATCCTTTGACTATGATTCTATGAATTGGAGCGCTCCAGGACATGAGTTGCCCATCTGGTGCAGTCCCAAAGAGTACAGAGCTGACTTTCCACCCAAAGCTATTGCTCCTCCCATATCCCAGGGTTGTCCTCACCCTCCCAGCCTGACTCTGTGTTAACCCTGTGTTATGATCCAGTTATTAAAACTATTAGAAATGCCTCTGCCTGAATTAAGGTACAAATGAGACCAAATGCCAAAGTCAGTAAACTATGGGGTTTTATTTAATGGTAAATGTGAGACAGAGAAAGAGAGATGGAAAAAAATAAGAACAAGGGATGAGGAGGAGAAGAAATGGAATGACAGAGACAGAGATTTAAATAGAAAATATATCACCACTCCATGTAACCCGGTGGCATCCTGTGGGTCTGGTTCTTCTGGTCTTCTTGGTGGTGATGGTCCCAAAAACCAGAGTCCACTGGATTAATAACCCCCTGGTGGGGGGGTGAAGCTTTGCAGTCTCTTGTGACAGGCAGTCCTCTGGTGGTGGGAGGCCTCAAGAATGAGTCTGGGGGGCGCTTTGGGGGTCTTTGATGGTTTATGACCCTACTCAGCTGCCTCTCAGGTGAATGTCCCATGTGTACATGGCCCTTCCGGAGCAAGGGGTTACTCCTTTGGTTTGGTGTGGAGGGATTTCACTATCACACCCCCAAAACCCTTCTCCTCCACCACCCCCTGGGCCTTGTTTTCTTCTCCTCAGAGCTGAGATGATTAGACAGCAGTCTCACCTCAAGTCCCCAGTCACAATCCAAATTCCAGTCAGGAGGCATTGGTGGTGGCGGGGGGGCGGGTGCTTCGATGGTCGCAGTCGCTTCCTTGCAGCTTGACAAAAAGCCTTTCCCCGATTTTGACAACGCATAAGACATTCCCAACCCTTCAGCCCGTCACCCCCTGTCCCTCTCTGTCCCCGTTTCCCCAGGTGCACGAGGAAGGAGCGGTGCGAGCGCTCCAGCGAGCCGCGGAGATTCGCCTCGGAGATGAAGCAGTGCGTCCGGCTCACCGTGCATCCCAACAACATCTCCGTGTCCCAGTACAACGTTTTGGTGAGGAATGCTAATCCCTGCCCCCTGCCCCTCGAGTCTAATCTGCCCATGCAGTGTGACAGACCCAGGTGTGTGCCACCTGGATCCAGGGAAGGACCGGCAGCTTGATGCAAGAGGTTCTCCAGAGACCAGTAACTTCCTTTCTGGCACAGAGAAAGATTTGCCATGGGAGGCTTTGGTTATCCCCTGTCTAGAAGTCTAGGAAGGAACTAGAAATAGTCTTCCCTGTTTACTGTGAGCAGCTCAGGGAAGGTCTGAAGGGATTCTGTGCCCTGCAGGTGCTGTGTGCAGCCAGTGTTGCTTTTTCCTTCCCTGGGACAGTTTATGCCTTTAGCCCAAGGAACATTATTATGGTTGGAAATTGCATCCTAGAAGAAAGACAAATGAGGGGTACCAGTGAGCTCCAGGTTCCCATCATCTTGGTTGGAAACATCTCCTTCTAAGCCACTAAAACCTCCACCCTGCTGCAGCTCCAGCACAGTATGGACAGCAGAGCAGAGAGGCAGGACGCTGTGCAGAGGAACCAAAGACTTCCAAGGTTTGTGCTGTCTCTTGTGACTGTCCACAGCACAAGGTTTCACCCTTAAGGCCTTGAGTTACTTGGTCAGCACCCAACGAAGGCACACAGTGAGTGCTGCAGAGGAGCAGATGATCCTGATCATTTCCTGGGCTTAAGGCAGGAAATCTCCTGCTGAAGGTCTGACCAGGTTGTGGTTTCTCTCCTGACTTGTGGCAGCAGTACCTTATGTGGTGAGATCCCAACATGCTCCAAGAAGGAGGCAGAGACCCATTTCATTCAACCTGCCAGAGCTCTGTGATTTTGGCCATACTAGCTTGGGCTGGAATTAAGTTGATAATCCAGGCCCTAAAAGCTCCATCTCTGGGTGAGTTTATCATTAACCCCACACCCTGAAAGGTCCAAATGGAATTGCTCAGGCAGCAGCTGCCAGACACCTTCCAGGTGGAAGATTTTGGAGTGCTGGGACTATTTCAGTGATAATGAAATCAGCCTTTCAAAGCCTGCATGCCCAATCATTGCTGCTTTGTTTCAGCCTCTTAACTTTGCTGTGACTTTACTTTCCTAGGCTTCAAACAAAACTGATCTGAGACATCTTAACTTCTTTGTTCTTCTGGGAGTTCAAGGTTTCTTTTTCTTATTCTCTCAGTAGTTGCTGAATTCTTTCATGTTGGAATAAATCCTGGGGGACTGGCTGGCTCAGGGAGACTGGAAATGATAACAGAATAAAAGACCTTTACCTCTGGGTTACTCCCAGGGTGAGACAGCCCAGAGCTGCTGGGATCAGAAGTTGCCAAAATCTATTTGTTGCCCAGAAATGTGCATGAATATTGTGGTGGGAGTCTCAGCCCAGTCTCAGATAAACTGGTGACTCAGCTCATCCAGTCACCACAGAGAGTTTCTTGGCAAACCAGGAGGGAACACCAGCAAACAGATGGCTGGTGGTATCCTTATGGAATCTCACTTGGCTTCTGGCAAAGGGTCAGTGATACTGAGGCAGAGAATTACGTGGTCAGCCAATCTTTTAAATTTTGGGCACTAACAGGGGCTTGGAAAATTTTAACTGAGTCTGTTTCAGTGCAGTGCTGCTGCTCTGGGATTTCTGAGAAGGGCTCCTTGCTGGGGCAAGGATCCATGCTTTCCTCACTGGAGCAGGTCCAGAGGAGGAGTGTGGAATGTAGGACTCCTTGTGTGTTCAGAGTGTGTGCTGGCTCATGGAATTTGTGGCCAAGCACTTCTGCTCTGTCCACTGGTGTCATCTGCTGCATGGCACACCTTCATTCTGCATCATCCGTGCTCAGAAAGCAACTTGCTGAGCAGAACAGTTTTCCCTCCTCCATTGCCCAGTTTTCCCTTCTCCATTGCCAGCAGGGTGTCAACGAGCTGGGAGAATGGACTCAGCCTGTGTGCTAAATCCATCCAGATATCCAAAGCTTCTTCCTACTCCCCACCCAAGACAAAAAATTCACCTTTCCCATTGCCGTTCCCATTGCCCCAAAATGATCATTGTCTATAAAACCAAGAAAACCTACTCTCACAAAGACTTAATGTCAGCCAAGGCTAAGGCCTGTCTGCTCAGTCTTTCTCCCTGGTGTTGCCTGGTGTGAAGAAACAGCTCCAACCTTTCCCTAGGTGAGGAAAACACTGTGTGGGAGCAGTAAGGGTTATGTTGCCTTCTCATCCTCTCCTGCTTTGTCACCTGGACTGACCTCTGTTCTTTGTGCTGGTAGAAACAACACTTCAGCATGCATCTGTGTCTCCTCTCAGTGGCTGTCACCTCAGATGGGGCCTCAGGTAGCTCGTGGAGGAGGCAAGTGTGGAGAGCATCTTTGTCTAGTGGTTGGCTCTAGTGTTTGGTCACAGAAATGCTAAATTTATACTAATTACTGGGGCATCAGCAGGTGCTGAAGTCCCCTGGGATGCCTTCCTGTGCTCAGGCATGATCTGGTGAGTGGAGCAGGACCCTCAGTGATGGAGGGCTGTGGTGCAGGACGGTGGCTGGTCTGGGAAGTCGGCACCATGGTGGTACTTCTCCAGAGTGTGGACATGCTGGAGACCAGCCACGAGATTCCTTCTCCCGCAACCATGAGCAATGGCACAGCAATGCCAGAGGCTGTGAACTCTAGAAACATGGTCAGTCCCTCCTTCAAGGCTTTTTTACATATGGCAGGTCCCCTAGAGCCAACTGCTCCTTCGGTGGGATGGGCAGGAGAGGTTTGCTGTGCCTCTAGAGACAGCAGTGGTTTTGTGGTGGACTGAAGGCTGTAACTAGACTCTCCTCACACAGGAACTTGGTGACAGAGTGCTCCCCACCTGCTGATGCTGGGAGAGCAGCCCGTAGAGAGTTAGACTGGAGCGCTCCAGTTTCTCTGGAGTCTGCAGAGAGCCTCTTGTGAGTAGCAGTTCACCTTCCTCAGAAACCGCGGGCCCTGGGGCCACCCCCGCCCCGGGCTTCACTGCTGGCTCCAAAGACTCCCTGCCTAACCTGACACTTGCATGACAGATAGTGAGCACTCCCCCCACCCCTCCACTGACCCAGCCAGCACTGGGATGCAGTGCAGCTGTCCCTGCACAGCCACAAAGCACTTGTGTCGGCATCAGCATCGGCATCTCATCCCCTTCCCCTCCACTGATTCCCCTCTCCTGAATCGCTGCTTTCTGTTGAAGGAGGATTCTCTCTCTAGCAAGAGGCTCTTTGTCTGACCTCTCCAGTGTAATTCTCTCCTGCTGACCCAGCTCTGTTGTTTGGCTTAGTGTTCTCTCTTCTTTTTTTTCTCTCTATCTTTTCTTCTCTCGCTCCATCTTTGCTTGCAGCTGGTCTTGGAGACCTACAACGTCCCCGAGCTGTCAGCAGGAGTCAACTGCACCTTCGAGGACCTTTCAGAGATGGATGGCCTGGTGGTGGGCAGTCAGATCCAGTGCATCTCACCAGCTGCCAAAGAGGTGCCCCAGATCATCACAGAGAACGGTGAGTATCCCACAGCTCCCCTGCCTGCACCACTTCTCCCTCCCTGAGTGTTTGAAGGTCCTCACCCCACACCCTTGTGCCTCTCCTGCTCTCTCACCAAGCAGGATTTGGCTCATGGTAGCCTGAGGGCAGGGTCTGGAAAGCACTGGGATTGGTGGGATGCTGGCGGAGCTGCCCAGCAGCACATTGAGGCATGAGCTGTGTGAATTTGCCTGTGTTTCTGTGTGCACACGTGTGCAAGTGTTGAGCTGCAACACCAGGACCTGCCCTAAGGTGCTTGTGTGTGTGACACGAGGTGTTTTCAGACTGCCACCGAGTGGCAGTTACATATATTTAGCAAAGACAAGACATGAATGTGGGATATTCCCTCACCTTTTGCCCAGGCTGCTGTTACACAACCTGGGGAACGAGGCTGTACATGCTCTCAACACGTCCCATCCCGTGCAGCAGCCAGAAAGTCCTGCACACCAGAGTGATCCTGTCTGTAAATTCATCCTGTTCCTCCCAGATTTAGGTCTTTGTGCTCAGTTCCCTGCTCCTGGCCTTTACTGCCTCCAGCTGTTCCAGACTTGCTGCTGGCTCCCTCTCCTAAAGTGGTTCAGCACAGAAAAATACCTTGTCTCCAAGGATACTTCCCCCATCCACCATTTCCTGCACTTCTTTGTTCCCCCTTTTTTCAATAACACCCGTGGCTCTTTGCAAGGACTTACTATAAAAACCTCGGCCCTGTTGATCACCCAGTGAGACACAGAGGATGCTGTCAATCTTGTCCTTGGCTTCTTGTGAAAATTTACTGTAAGTTTGCCTCTGAGCATCCTCAGACCACAGAAAATAAAGTGTCATGAGCTGTCAGCATCATCTCTGCTGCATGTGCTCTCCTTTTTGTCCCAAAACAAGCCCCCAGAAGGTTGTTACCATTTCCAGGTCCTGCTGAGTTATCAGTCGTGTTTATAGATGCCAGAAACTATTTCCTTGGTATGGACGTCTCTCCCAGGCCAGGCTACAATCAACCAGCAAACAAAAATAGCAGTGGAAGCTGGAGGCAGGACAAGAGAGAGAGATTTATGTGTGGTGTGGTTTCAGAGAAGCAGCTTGGAGCAACTTCAGCAGCTGACGCTCCGCACCTTGCACAGAGCAAGTGCTCCATGCACAGAGCCAGGGGCTGGATTGGAACCAAAGGATGTGTGGCTCTGTCACATGTCTGATCCCTGGGGCCATCCAATCCTTGCTTCCTGCTTCAAAATACATGGAAGATGCTGTGAAGTTGTTAAATACGGTGTGTTGATGACAGAGCTGGCGGAGCTGGCGGCACCAGATGGGCAGCAGAGCCCAGCACTGGCAGGAAAATGTGTTTAGTGGAGTGTGTGGTCTGTGCAGTGTCTGTATGTGTGTGTTTGAGTCTGTGTGTGCCTGAAGGTGGGTGAGTGCACATGTGGCTGCACCCTGTGATGGACTGTCCAGTTTGCTTTGTCCTGATTGATTCGTGAGTCTTCAGGTGAGGGGGAAAATAATGGAATCATAGAATTATAGAATGGTTTGAATTGGAAGGGAGCTGAAAGATCATCTAGTTCCAACCCCCCTGCCATGGGCAGGGACACTTTCCACTAGTCCAGGTGGCTCCAAGCCCTGTCCAACCTGGCCTTGGACACTTCCAGGGACAGGGCAGCCACAGCTTCTCTGGGCAACCTGTGCCAGGGCCTCCCCACCCTCACAGGGGAGAATTTCTTACTAATATCTAATCTAAACCTTCCCTATTTCAGCTTAAGGCCATTCCCTCTTGTCCTATCACTACACCCCCTTGTGTGAACAGCACAGAAAGGGCCACACAAGTAAATCTCAAAGTAATTGTGGGTCAGTTCCCCACCAAATTACTGCAATTACTGCACCCACTCATTACCCACGGTGATGGGCTTTGAATAGTGGGTTTGGTGTTGTGGGAAGAGGTAGCAACCGACTGCCCAGTTTGGGAGCAGTGGGAATGAGGAGATGGGGTGTAGGGGCTGAGGTTCCCATGGGTCTGCTATGGAAATGGATGGATCCTTCTGGAAGTGTGATGGATTGCACGTCCCTCACACTGAGATGGGTTCTTTGCAGCCAAAGACCAGGGGAATGGACCTTGGGGTTAATGGGGTGAGAGAATGTGGAAGAAATGTCCACAGACCCTTTCCTTCTGGGAACACCAAATGAACCAGCAGCAAGGAAGAATTTCAAGGAGAATACTCTGTTTTAACAGTCTCTGAATTCCAGCCATCTGCACTCATTCTTTGGGCTTAGCTTTCCTATTTGATGGCTTCAGTCACCATATTTTTGAGATTAGTGAGGTATGATCTAGACCTGTTGTCATGGTCTAGCCCAGACTCTGCTCCCAGGTACAATAATTTCCAGTGGTGAACATGCACTCCATCATCCCAACACCAACAGAGAGGTCACTCTGTTGGAGAACTGGGCTCCAGAAGGATTTTATTGTGCTTTCCACATCTCTTGAGGACAGAGCAGCCAAGGTACTGTGAGACAGCTCCAGGTTCAGGCTGGTGGCATGGCCAGCAGTGCTTTTAACTAGGCTGACAAAGCAGCCACACACTGATGTGTCTATTTTTCCCCCAGGAGACCATCACATTGTGCAGCTTCAGCTCAAGTCCAAGGAGACGGGTATGACCTTTGCCAGCACCAGCTTCGTCTTCTACAACTGCAGCGTCCACAACTCGTATGTTCCTTTCCTTTGATCCCTGCTTCCCATTCCACCCCTGGATCTGCCACAGAACCCCCTGGTGATGGGCATGTGTCCCTCAGGAAGCTGGTTAGGTGTGGAGGTGACATGAGGTCTGGGTCACTTGTGTGGTAGTCAGGATGATGGGGTCCTTCCCGAGAAGACCAAGAGTATGGGGACCATTTGTTCTGCAGGCAGAGTGTCACAGTTTGGGGCAGTTTGGGGCAGTTTGCCACAGAATTGAGTCAGGACTGGATCATGACCTCAGCACGTGGCCCCCTCATCATCCTGTTAATCAGGTGTTTGTGGATGGCTGGATCCTGCCCATAATATGCATCTCCAACCCTCACCCCTCCTGCCATTCCCACCAGCAGGAGCCTGCCCCAGCTGGTTAATATGGGATTGGTCTTTCCAGTCTGGAAGGTTGGTTCGTGCATGATGTGAACTGAGAAGGGAACACCCAGCTGATTCCCTCAAGACCATCTTTTCTGTGCTGTGAGCTCCTTTCCAGCCTCCCACCCCATTTTTCTGGAGTTTAGCTGCCACCCAGGGCTGCTCAGGAGCTGCCCCACCAGAGCAGATCTGCAGCTGCCCCACAGAAAGATGCTCTTGCAGTGGGATGATCCACCCCTGAGCAAGGCTGAGCAGCTCTATCCCCACCACTGAGCCTGTTCAGAAGTGCCAAAAGCACATAATTACTGCGGCTCAGCAATTCACAAGGAAAGGCAATTCCTATTTCCATGTACCTGCTGCTTTGACAAACAGTGTCAGAAAGCAAGTGTTGGTGGGGAGAGCAGGAGAGATGGTGGTGTTAAATATTTATGGCATGTTTTGGTTCCTTACTTGACAAACTGTGCTACACTATCCATTTTTAATTCGATGTATCAGAGCAAGCACTTGTTACCAATTTGAAGAATAAGTTGCTGTACCAGAGCTGAGGGTGGATTGGAGTTGAGCAGGATTTCCTGGAGACAGGGGAGAGGGTGTGTGGATGCCTCTTGGGCTCAGACAAGCTCTGCTGGAGGCAGTTTTTTCTCTCCTGCCCATTAAAAGCCCAGTAAAAGCCAGGAAAATTTACCCCCTTCAAGGTCCCTTCTGGTACTTTAGAGTCTGCAGCTTTATAGGATCTTAAAATCAATAAGGTTGGAAAAGACCTCTAAGATCTCCAAGTCCAACCATCAGCCAGCTCCACCACCATGTTCACCATCAAACCGTGTCCTCAAGTGCCACAGCCACACGTTTTTTGAACAATTCCAGGGATGGGGACTCCACTACTTCCCTGAGTAGCCTATGCCAGGGCTTTACAACCCTTTAAATGGAAAATAATTTCCTAATACAATATAAACCTCCCCATGGCACAACTTGAGTTCATCTCCTCTCATCCTGTCCCTTGTTCCCTGGGAGCAGAGCCTGATTTCCCTTGGCTCCCCCCTCCTGTCAGGGACTTGCAGAGCCAGAAGGTCCCCCCTGAGCCTCCTTTTCTCCAGGCTGAGCCCCCCCCAGCTCCCTCAGGAATTCTCCAGACCCTTCCCAGCTCCCTTCCCTTCCCTGGACATGCTCCAGCCCCTCCATGCCTTGGATGTGAAGGTCTCCAGAGTGTGGGTGATCAGGATTGTGCAGAGAGTTTATGTCTCCTTTTGGTTGCTGGTGAGCAGACAAATACTAAATTTAAAAAGAAGTGTGATGTAGGTGTAAGTCAGTGCTGTGACACAGCCAGGAGAGGTGTTTGCAGCTCCTACTCTGCAGAGCCCCTGGGGACAGGAGAGCAAAACCTTGTAAGGTGGAGAGAATGGTTCTTACCTACATGCTGAGCAGGTGATGTCCTCAATATGCCCTCTGCTTCCCAGGTAGCTGCTCCAATAGTCTACACTTCTCTGCTGAGGTGAAGAAAAGAAAAATACAGTTAATATATTTGCAGGAGCCTCCTCACCCTGGTCAGAACTCACACCAATAAACCTGTGGGACACAGGGGGAGCAAATTCCGTGCTCCATCCTTGACTTTTTGATTTTGGTGCATCCCACTTGGTTTCTGGCCTCTGTGTGGGAGGATTAACCCCATGGAACTGCTGGTGCCCAGGGTTTGCCTTCCATGGGCATCACTCCTCCCACCAGTCCCTCGTTTGGACCTTCTCCTGATGTCTTCACAGCTCCCAGGGCACTGGTGCAGCCCAGTGTGGAGGCAGCCAGGCTGCAGTATTTTCCACCCATCCACTGATCTCGTACTTTTTTATTTCCACCTATCCCCCGATCTCATATTTTCTTATTTCCACCCATCCCCTGATCTCAAATTTTTTGTTACATCCAGGATTTGGGCAAAAATGGGGATGCCTCTTGCGTGTGAAGAAGCCAAGAACTTGCTGATAGTCTGAATAAAAGTTGCAACAGGGCAATCAAAATGCAAGAAATATTTATTATTCCTCCAGTTGGAATGATATGAATGCAACCTAAACTAACTAATAAATATGAGATTCTTGTGATCCCAGCGACAACCAGCTCAGGCTGTGGCAAGTCCAGCACCATCCTGTAACCTGATGGTGTTGTGTAAAAAAAAAACCCAAAAAACCATGTTTGCCAGGCTGTGTTTCCCTCTGAGAAAGGCTCTCAGCCTCGAGGCCTGTCCTGTTGGTTGATGGGACCCTTCTGGCCAGGTGACTGCTCTTTCTCTCTGTTCCCAGGTGTCTGTCATGCGTGGAGAGCCCCTACAGGTGTCACTGGTGCAAGTACCGCCACGTGTGCACCCACGACCCCAGCTCCTGCTCCTTCCAGGAGGGACGAGTCAAGATGCCTGAGGTAGGAAGGGGCACAGGATGCATGTCAGGGGTTGATGTCACCTGTCAAACTAACAGCCCAGGAAGCCTTCTCCACCTCCAGTCCCACCCTCACCCTCTAGGAGACCCTCACCTCTCTCTCTGTATGCAGCTCCTCTCCTCTCTGCTCTGCCAAAATCTCAGGGAGCTTCTCCCTCTGTCCCACACACTACAGGGAATGGGTTACCTTGGAAAATCATGACAAACTCTGGCATCAAGGGGCTGGGAGGGATGGAAAACAGTGGTAATACGTCTCCAGGAGAGATGGAGATACTCTACTCCTCTAAGCACCTCTCCCAGGCAGTTGAGATCTGGGAAGGATTTAGGGCTTTGTCCATGCCAGTAGATTTCAGCCACGCTTTGAACACCTTTGTGGCTTCATGGATTTGAAGCCTAATGGTCAGTGCCTCAAACTGCCTCCAGATGAGGCCAGGAGATGCCTCATTGCCAGTCACTGAGCTGAACTGGACCTTGGGGTTTAACACAGAGCTGCAAATGCTGCCTGGCAGGTACTGTGACTAACGAGCACTCGCAGACAAGTGGAGCTGGGGAGAATACAAATAGGAAGCTACTTAATTACTTCCTGGCCAGGAACGGTCTGAAAGCATCCTGGGCTGTCTGGTAAATGACCTGAGAGGGCTGGTTGTTTGCCTGGCCCCAGGGACCAGTACCCATTAAGAGATCTGATACCTGCTGAGCCACCAGGGCACAAGTGGCTGCTGAAGACTCTGGCAACGTGTGCTGCATTCAGAGGGTGAAACCCTCGCTGTTCCCCGTGCTGCCTGCTGGCTCTGGTGTCTCTAATGTCATCCCCCACCTACCACCAGCCCCTGCCCCAGCCCAGTTGAACCAGAAGACCCACATGTAGTGTCTTCACATTCTCATGGCATCCCCATTCCCTCTCACCCCTTCCGTAAGTGCTGCTTGAGATACCACATATGTGCTGGTTGAGGTGTCCTGCATCAGAACTTCTGACCTGCTGTGCCACTGAGACAATCCATAAATATTCATGAGTTCTCAGTCTACCAGGATGCAGAATTTGTTATAAACTTGCTGGAAAACATGCTGAGGAGGTGGAGGGCTTGGCACCCTCTGCTTGGTGGTGAAGGGGTGAAGGAAGGCAGCTCAAAGTTCAGCCCTTCTGGAAGGTTATCCCAGCCAGAGAGGGACTATTCCCTCACATGGAACCTTGGCAGTTTGTCCAGTCCTGCTGCTCACAGATTTCTGTGCCTTCCCCTTCAGGGGCTGGAAGGCTAGAGTGGAATCCCCAGGGACACTTTGTCTCAGCTTCCCACTGAAATACTGCTGCAAAACCATCACCACCACTGATCTTCTCTGGCTCCTCTGGGGTGTCCCATGTACCAAGCACAGGACTCATCTTCCCACTTCCCACCTCTTCTCTCCTCCAGCCCCCTGTCCAAAAACAAATGCCTACAAACCTTAGTGGATGTCCTGCTCCCTCAACCCCTATCACATCCCTGGTATTCAGGACATGACTCTCATCAGAAAGGAGACCACAAGAATGATCCCACTTTCTTAGGGAATGGGCTGGGGATGGCACAGCCCCTGATCTTTATCCCCTCCAAGGCCTTGCTCTGCAGAACTGGGGAGGAAGGCAGTGGACTCATCAAACTCTGCAGATCTGCCTGTTTTAGCTTCATCACCTCTCTGCTAGTTTGGTTTCTGAAAGGTGTCCTCTTCAGACCATCCTGGGGGGCTTTGTCTGCCAGCAGAGTTTGCTCTTTCTCTCTTCTATCCCCTTAAACAGAGAATTTCCTGCTAAGCTTCATAAACTCCCTCTCTGATCTTGCAAAACTGCTCTGTGGGATTTGCATGGCACAGGGAGAGGCACAAACCCGACCTTGGAAGACAACTACTGATCTCCAAGGCAATGACAGCATCATGTGAGACATGGATGTTACACCGGCCATTCCCAACGAGGGCTGTGGCAAAACCATCTCTGAGCACAAATGGGACCTCTTTCCCCTGGGATACAACATTTGGCACTCAGCTGCTCACCTCAGGAGCTGGATTTCCTCTCTGCTGGACAGAGGAAGCACTTCCCAGCACTGGAACTACAAAATCTGGAAGGATAATGGCCTTCCAAACCCCAAAACTTTCCGAGCTGCCTTTCTGCCTGGCAACGTGAGAAATACCCTGTAACTTCAGAGTCCCTCTCACTCCGTTTGTGTGTTTGTGGCTGTCAAGGACACTCGGGCTGGGGAAGGATGGCATCACAAGTGCATTCTGACAAAGAGATTTACAATCCCTCTGCAGCCAGGAAGGTTTTTGTCAAATGGCACTTCGAGCAAACGCTGCGTCGTGTCTCCCACGCTTCTCTTGAAAAACCACCTTCCCACTGACTCATCCCTCTCACTGCAACTTCCACTGCCTGTTTTTCACTTTCACCTGCAATGCTATCATTTTCTGTCCTACACATTTGCTTTTTTGTTGAGTGGGTTCTTGGAGCAGTAGAAACCATTGGGTATCTTGAAGCCACACCTGGCTCCTCATTGCCCATCCAGACCTTCACCCAGCTCCTGGTGACTCACGAGGTTACCAGGACTGAGGTCCATTTCCAGACTTCCCAATGCCACCTTCAGCAGTGCTTGGAATGCACCATCATGTTGAGTGGCTCTGTTCTTACTGGCCTCTCATCTCCATGCTCCTTTAAGTCCTTTCCTCTGGAAGCATTTAGATCCCTGGAGGATGAGGAGAGGGGAGTGTTTCCTACCATCCAGGCATGAGTACCTGCTCAATCAGTAAGTCTGGAGGAAGGACTGATGGGAAGCTGTACCACCAGTGTGGAGTGGATGGACCATCCCATTTGCAGTCTTTCCATGGGTTTGCTGAGCAGATTAGCTTGGGCATCTTCCAGGATCTTGCACCAAGAGACTCCTTGCCAAGCAAACAAATATTGGTGTTGCTCTATCATATGGACCAGTGCCAGGAACGCCTTCCCTCTGTAATCATCACTGCTGGCCTGACAGGCCTTCTACCCTCCCCCTCACTCTGGCCTTCACCTTCTCTTGTAACACTCACCCTCAGGTGATTTTTGTTCTCTGTTTGCCTGTACAACATCTTGCCATCATGTGGGAAGAGACTTCCCACTCTCCAGATGGCCTGGGCTGCAAATGGACTCTCTGGGCTGGCACCCATCACCCCTGGACCAGCCTGGAGTGCTTTGAAGGGAGGTTTGTGCCCTTGTGTACATTCTGACTCCATGATTTCCTTAGGACACCTCACAACTTTCTGGATTCCCATAGGCTCAGCCTTTCACTCAGGTCTTCCTGATGTTCTCTGAGAGGATCTGGGGTTTTTACTTTAATTTTAGTGTGAGTTGCTGATTAATTTAGAATGCTGGATGAATTTGAGGCTGATCCAGTGGGACAGCAGAAAGGCTTTGGCCGTGACCCACATTGTCCAGAAGGCAAAATGCTGCTTGTGTCTGTGTAGCCTGTGATCTGCCATCCAAGGAGAGCCTCTGAATGGCATCATGGATAGCTGGGATCAGCCAGTCCCACCTGGCAGAACAACCAGAGATGGGGAAAGGACAGAAAAGGCACATCCCTCACTATCAACATGGAGATACGACTTTCTTTCCTGTCATTTGTCAGATGGATCAGCTCTGCCTGGGATAAATCTGGATCAGCTAGCCTGGGAGCCTTGGGAAAGCCCATGTTTGCTCCAGTGAAGAACTCCAGCATGGTCATAAAGCAAGAGTATTTATGATTATGGCACTGATCTTAATCACACAGGGTTGACAAAGTCCCTGGGTGATTTGTGGCAGAAATGCTTCACCTTGGCGTGTAATTTCCCTTTACAGCAGGTTTTCAAAAACCAGGCCCACTGGCTTGAAATACACTGAGTGACTTCTTGCTTTATAAAGGGGAGCTGATGTTATCATTACTGAGGGCAGGAAGGGAAAGCACGAGGAAAAAAGGGATTTTAATACTGAAGTGGACTGTTGTTGTTGCTGTTGTTGTTTTTCCCAAAGAGCTGATGGCAAAAGTGGAGAGAATTAGATATAAAAGGGAGTGGGCTGAGTTTCTGTTTTTTTTCTTGGCTGTCCTGTCTCTGCTTTTGACATTTGTTGCTGACCATAACTAAAGTCACAGTGCAGGCTTAGAGTTTGAGCACAAACCAGACTAACACACTGTGAAATCAACCCTGACTTACCTGGCACAATTACCAAGTAAGAGAGCTCAGTCATTTTCTTCTGTAAATGGGCACGACAGCCAACAATTTTGGGGGGAAACTGAGGCAAGGAGGTGGAAAACAATTGATCTGAGGGTCTTTAGCGAGACAGAAGCTGTAGAAACAGCTCCTGTCTCTCCTGATTTGCGTTGTCCATCTCATCTTTGTACAGATCTGCTCTGGTCCAAGGGGGTAATTTTTATTTCATCAGTGTTTCTGTCCAAGGATGGGGTGCTGGGGTATCCTACTTGAGTTGATGGGATAAAGGATTAAATCTTTTTGTTGTGCCTTTTTCTCTAAGATGAACACTATGTTGTTCCAGGCCTTGCAAGGATTTTAGCTTTGTGTAGGGAAAAAAGAGGAGAAAAAAAATGGCAAAAGCCAAAAGCAAGCCTAGATAACAAATCTATTATTCACTGGCTTTAACAGATACATAATCATTTAATTACCTTGAAGGAGGTTTTCATCTCTCCCTTCTCAGCCGATTTGTGTGTGCATGTGTTTTCCTTCCTCCCCCAAACAGGCCTTTTTATTAAAAGGATTTTCATCTGCTGCCTAAAAAGGGAACAGAAGAAAAGATCTTGCACCAGAGTGTTTTATGTCGAGTTGTACGTGCTAATGACAGCAGAGCCCACATAAAAGAAACAACTGCTTCAAATATTAATTTGTCAAAAGAGATAGAAAGCCTTGTGAGCTGCATCCTGGAAGCAGCTGCTGAGGAGCAGAGCATGCTTTTCCCAGTGTTTGCCTGTGCCTTGTTCTGAACTAAAAGCTCTACCAGTGGCC